CTCTGCCCAGGATCAGGGCGTGGATGTCATGAGTGCCTGCAAGAGGAGACAACAGGTAGGACTCAAGTGAGGGTGGATCACTGGGGATTCATCTCCTCTCTCATTCACCTAAGATGAACATGATGTGTTGCATAACCTGCTCATAGACACTGAACTACGACACCACCTGAGTCTCATGTGGAGCAGTCGGTCCAGGTTTCCCACCCCTCGTCCTCACCTTCGTACGTGTTGACCGCCTCTAGATTGAGGACATGGCGGATGACGTGGTACTCGTCTGCAATGCCGTTGCCTCCCAGCATGTCTCTGGCCTGCCTGGCGATGTCCAGGGCTTTACCACAGCTGTTCCTCTTCAGCATGGATATCATCTCTGGGGCTGCTCTGCCAAGGGAACATCAGGTTTGTCTCGCATTAGTTTTTAGAGCTGGACACGTGAAACTGAAACTGTGACGTCTCTGGTTCAACACTGTGCATGTTAGTGGGATGACAAGAGAGGAGAAGTGACCTTATTGTGGCAGTGATGGCAGGATGTCTCCTGGGGGAGGGGGAGACGTGGTGACTGTGATGAGTGAGTGAACAGTTGAGCCTGTTCTGGTGGAGGCTTCAGAGCCAAAGCTCAGAGCCAAAGCTCAGGGCCAAAGCTCAGAGCCAGGGGGCAAAGTCTGCCAGACTCTGTTATGTTACTTTAGTTGAAGTTGACTATTTTAGTAAATGTGGACGTGTGTGTAAGGTCCCAACATGAAACATGGCCAACACAACAGGAAGTGGATTTTGAAATCTTTAAGCTTCATGACGCCACTGAGAACCTGACAGGATGTCATCATTTACCTCGTGGTCTGATGGACGAGCCTGTCCACAAACATTAGGACAAATACAGCCCATCCAGAAAGGTTTCCGGCCATTTTCACTGAGAACATTAAAAAACCTGAGTGGAAACATTCATAAAAGAGTTTTTCCTCTTGTCGGAGGTGGAAAAGCTGCTGTGACCAACATGAATCGAGGCTTAAACATCAGTGAAGAGCTGATAATGTGTGTGGAGCGACGAGGAGGCTGTGACCATGAAACTAACAGAAACGTCACCTCTCCATCGTGTCTTTACAGTGTGAGCTTTGACTGGAGCTTTTCACTGACAACAACTCTTCCCCTGCACTGGTTTAACGGCACCAACTGGAAATGATCCCTTTTTCCTCAAAGCTACAGTTTTTGTGCTACGCTCAGATGGAAACCCGCTTTATTGCACAGAAGTTAGAGGACAACGGTACTTTTTCTGGTCGACAAGTCTCCCCAGCTGCAGGCAGGACTGCAGGCCGATGGTGATCTCTGTCAGCATGTCGGCCATTTTCTTCTGGATCAGCTGATTTCTTGCCAGCGGCACGCCAAACTGGATCCTGGTGCAAAAAACAACAACACTCCATGAGCCTCACACTTATCAGATAGCCTGGTGTGGCATTAAAATATCTGTACACTGAGCAAACAGGTGTGGACGTCCATCTGGAGTCAACTTCCTGCATTCTTCCAAGTGAATTCATGGATTTTAAAACCAGCTCTTGAGTGCATGTGTGACTCGGACCTGTCGAGTGTGTACTGACGAGCTGCATGGAAACAGAACTCTGCTGCACCCAGAGCGCCCCATGCGATTCCATAGCGAGCGTTGTTCAAGCAGCCAAAAGGACCCTGGGAAGGGTAAAAGAAGAAGAAGAGTCACATGAAGATAAATGCCAAACCCATTACTCTGTTGCGTCGCTCCACCCACCCCCAGGCCAGAGACATTAGGCAGCAGGTTCTCCTCGGGCACCTCCACCTCGTCCATGAGGATCATGCCGGTGGCCGAGGCTCTCAGCGAGAACTTCCCTTCAATCTTTGGCGTGGCAAGGCCCTTCATGCCACGCTCCAAGATGAAGCCGCGGATCTTCCCGTCGTCACATTTGGCCCAGACAACAGCGATGTCCGCCACCGGAGAGTTGGTGATCCTGACAGAGGAGGTACAGGGGATGTTAGATAGACACAGCCAGTCTGCAGTAAGCGGCAAAGCTAAGTATCACAGTGGTATCATATATTTCTACATCTCTAATGAGATGCTATTTACTGAGACGTTTTCTCAAAGAACACGTTATGAATTTCCACACGTCTGCTCCTCACCAGGTTTTGGAGCCAGTGAGAGTGTAGGTGCGACTGGATGGATTGTACTTGGCTCTGGTCTCCATGCTGCCGGGGTCGCTGCCGTGGTTGGGCTCGGTCAAGCCGAAGCAGCCCAGGATCTCTCCACGAGCTGGGAGTCGACAACACACCGAGAGCTCACTGACTCGCTGTTAAAGCATTAATATCTGTCCGTCTGTTGCTGATGATACAGCGGCTGCTGACAGATCAGACGTGGTTCTTACCAAGCTTGGGGAGGTACTTCTGTTTCTGCTCCTCTGAGCCATAGGCGTTAATGGGGTGCATGACCAGTGACGACTGCACACTCATGACTGAGCGGTAGCCGCTGTCCACTTTCTCCACCTCTCTGGCAATCAAACCATAGGCCACATAGCTGGTCCCAGCACAGCCATAACCTTTACATCCAACATAGGGAGGGGGGTATTGTTAAAATACAGCACACAACAGATCAATTGAAATAAAGAAAGAAAACACACACAGTGTGTCAATGACACAGTTCAACCAGAGAAACGTGCTTTCCAGCAGAAGTGTGGTAAAACCTTACAACAATAGCCAAACTTCAGAATAAACAGATCTGTCGTCCATTCTGTTTAAAACATTGGTGTGTATCCTGTGGGACTGTCACGTCAAATCAGACCGACCTTTAATGGTTGGGCCCAGGACGCCCATCTCTCCCATCTCGGACACAATTTCTCTGTGAAACACTGAAAAACCAATGACACAACTGTCACGTGAGGATAACGGATGCAGATGGTATTTGATTTCCTGAGGCAGCAGTGATCTGTGCACATTACACACCAACATACATGCATTGGTAAATGCATTAAAGCTTAATGAAAATTTCCAGTAACAGTTCAGGAGTCAAGTTCGTGCACGTAAGAAAATGAGTTTCCCCACCCTCGTTTCTATTTGCCATCAGGATGCGAGGCATGAGTTTCTCTTGGCAGTAGGTCCGGAACGAGTCCCTAATCATGATCTCCTCCTCGGTCAGCTGGCCCTCCAGGTCCAGGGCATCGCGCCAGCTGAACTGGACCTTAGCTGTTGCACATGTGGAACAGGAACAAGTCAAGACCCTTAGAAGCACCATCAAAATGTTCTGAAGAGCTTCAGTTTCAAAATGGTGGCAGCTAGCGACACCTACGTGCTTTAGACGTCTGCTCAGTCTTCTCTGTACCTGAAAATATTAACCAGAAAAATGTAACGTGTAAATAACTCATTTTGAAGTACCTGCTCTAGGCAAAGGAGAGGTGAAGGTGTATTGGTAAGCTTTGGCCTCATTTAAGCAGCTATTAAACATGGAAATTGTTCAGCGATGAACTAATGGGTGTATGATGAATGTCCACTTAGATGTAAGACTTCAAAAGAAGAAGGAAAACAGCTGGTAGTACAACTTTAGCAAAAACCTGTTGTTGTATCTAACCACTGCTGTGAAATGCAATTTTCTGTTTGGTCTGACTTCCAGACACCCTGCAGCTCAAAGCTCAGAGCATCTGCATGGAAAGCTGCTGCTGTGGCCGGGGTCACTGTACTTACTGCGACCAGCAGGCGCTGCAGTGCCCTGAGCTCTGGAGGCTGACAGGAAGCCACATCTGTGAGGACGGACCAGGAGGCGGCACACGGCTCCTCTCAGTGCCATGATGGAGATTAGTCTGTAACAGAAAACATTTTCTGCATTTGGTTCACATTCTCCAATGGTAACTGCCAATTCTTTAAAGATACTCCACCTAATGTCTTATATAATAAAATACACATATCATATATATTAATGTCAAATATGCCATTCTGCATACTGACTACTTTTGCTACTTCAAGTACATTTGGATACTAATACTTTATGCTTTTAGTTAAATAACATTAAATAACAGATTATGCCTGTACTGTGGAATTACTACTTTCATTTACAATTTAAATAAATGATAAGAGTAGTTCTTCCACAACTGCTTACCTATATGTTGCTATGTTTATTTATAGTCCCTGTCAAACTAACAAAAATGACATAAAAGAGAGTCGTAAGAATGTAGGATTAGGGCTGCTAATGAGGGAGTACTAGCTGAAGTAGTTGTTTGTACACTGTTATTAACTACATGTCCGGTTCTTCGTTGTAGTGTAGCCAAATCTCGACCTGACCTTACTGCACACATGTAGCTAGGCTAGGCTAGGCTAGCTCAGCTAACTTTTGTAACTTTAGCTACAAGCTAACAGCGCGATACTAGTACCGCCAGCGCGTACCCCATAAATCCCCCACGTTAACGATGTAAATGCTGTGTTGACAACAGCTGATAAGTCAGGTATGAGGTGCTTACCTGTGGTCGGTGGGGTAACAACCCTTGAACTAGTTTTTCACCTCCCAGGTTGATGGTGCACAAATATAGATATATTATACACAGACTGTTAATTAGCTGCTGCGGTTAACTGCAGTCGCCATGTTGGTACAGGGAAGCCTCCTAATGGTGAAGGCAGGTCTATCCACAATTCAGATCATAACTCACCGAATTTACAACTGATTTTTCAGCTGTGTGGTTTGTTACAAACGTAGACATGTACATGGTTACATTAAACGCGAATGTTCATACCAAAAACACACATACTACAAACATTTTGCAGACAGTGACACTAGCTTATTAAGATGATTAGTTTCTAGGTTTAGGTTACTATTTTTTTCTTACTGCATTGTAAAAAGATTGCCATTATATAATTTTAATATTTTATTATAAATTATCACATTGTAGATAATAAAAGACAGAATTACAACAGTTACAATTGCTTTGTGTTGTTATTATTAAACTGTATTGCATTTACAGAGAAGAGTTTATTATTTAGCCTAGTTGTGCAGTGGACAAATCATTACAAATGTAAGGGTTAATTCCCAGTTCTTATTACCATTGCTAACTCTGAGAGACGAGGCGGTCCCAGTAACTTCAAAACAGTGCTGATTTATTCAAAGGATCACAGGTAAAATTAACATTACACGCTCAGGTATCTTGCACCTCCAACATGCTCGCAGAACCCAACAGGCCTGTACATTACATCTGGTTTGGGCTAACCCCATTCTACACAGCGACGTCAAACCGTGACGTCACCTGATATGCCAGCTATGCAGCTGACCAGAGCAGTAGTCAAAACATGGAGAAAATAAATGTGTGTGTGTGTCTGTTGATTAAGTGGTGTGTATCTAAAAACATTCTGGCAGGACATTCAGTGACATGTCCTGGTACTAAACATAAGCAGATATTATGATTACGATTACGGTTAAACACATAATAATAATAATAATAATAATAATCATCCTGCCTGCTGACAATCAAACTTTTCTATCTAGTTATCCTTGCCCATGTGCCCCCTGCTAAAATCTCAATGACTAAGCGTTTAAACAGTCTAACTAGACATCCTGTCTCCACTGAACATTTCTAATACATCAAGTACCTAACCAATATCTATCTGACTAAAAAATACCTAACACAAACAACTGTTAAAAAAATACAATTCAACATAAGCACACACTGGGCTACATCTTTTAAAATGATCATACAGCTGAATTAATGCAAACGGAATCTTATCACCTCCATGAAGGAGGATTTATTAGAGGAATATTAGACAGCATTAGTTGTAACTAATAAGCCAACAACTGAGTGTATGACGTCAGCAAACAGTAAACTAAACAGAGTAAAATGTGACATGTAATTTTGTTTTTATTTAACCGTCCAAACATTCTCAACCCCGCTGCAATATGGCGGTGAGCTAGACGTGGAATTGTTGCTTTTACGAGTGTAGCTCTACGGCGCTGTCTGAACGTCTAAACACGACGTCGTCATCACGTAAAGCCCGTTCAGCTGGATGTGCCTTGTTGACTGTGGCGTCATTACTGAACCTCACGTTAGTTATTAGCGAGAACACTTGTACAGGATTAGAGTTTTCCTCTATGTGGAGAAAACACATATCAAACCTGAGACTAACGTGAAAAGTATGGATGAACTCTTTGTTTATGTCCTTCCGTCATCACTTAAAATGGCGACGCAAACGGTTCTGATTGGTTCATTAGCAGGGCCGTGGATGTTGGAGGCGGGGCCACACTCACGTTTCAGTTCCCAAAATAAAAGCAGTCCAGTTCCAAGGAAGGATACCAGCAGCTGCCAAGTGGGAGAAACATGAGACAAACCGGCAAAAGCCATTTGATCCACGCATTTCCCTCTGTTGTGTTGAGGAAAACAGAGAACAGGCCAAATCTCTCCTGAGAACCTAGAAGCTTGATATCTGATGGCTTGGCATTGTTGTTTTTATTTATTTAAAACCATTTGAATGTATTTATTTTTCACAATGCACTTATTTGACTTTTGTTAATTTCACATTCCTCTTTCCTTTGTTGTTATTCTATCCACTGTGCCTCATCCGTCAAGAGTTATACTGTTATGTCTGTGTTTTCTTTTGCAATTGAAAACCAGCCAAAGAGCTGCTGTGGTCCAGCGGGCCAAGGCCAGTGGCCACAGTGCTGGACTGGTGTCACACCAGCAGGCTGCACCTTTCTGCTGGGTGTTACTGGACATGTTAACATGACATGCTTTGATAGACAGATAGTTTATTCATCCCGAGAGACATTCAGTACCTATGTATCTAAGATTTAACTTTAAGTAACATTTTGAATGCACATATTTTTCTTGAAACAGTGTTTATGTACTGTGGTATTACTACTGTTCCTTAATAATCAGAGTACTAATGTTTATATGTAGCTGGTCCCTGTCCAAAGAAAACAAAAAGACTTTCATGAAGGAGGATTTGTTGCCACTGAGCCCATAATCTCTGAAAGAGGACATTTTTCACAGCAGCGTTAGCCATGTTTGTGACACTTCCTTTGCTCTTCTGGGATCTTCTTGTGTATTTTTACTTTGACGTGAGTAAAGGCTGTCCTCTCCTGGTCCCCCTGCTGCAGCTGCCATGACTCACAGAGGTCAGCAGGCAACATTTTCCCTGGAAGGTGAATTATGGATGAACATGTTGCTTTTATAATTAATGCCATCTTGAATTGCATTGGCCCAGCGGAAGTTATGCTTTGTCATTGTTCTGCTGCATTCACGACTGATGAAGGCCAGCGTTCACTGTGAATGAGTGATGACGTAGAAACCAGGTGATGGAGACCGTGTTGTATTGGATTAAATATTGACATGAATTGTATTTGGTCCATTGTCTTTGCTTATTTTAAAACTATAACTGCTCAGATTACAAGTAAGGTCTCAGTTAGTGTTAGATCCCAAAGCTCAGGAGGTGTGGGCCAGCCTTCATCCTAACCTGACTCTTCCTACTTAATCTCAGAGGTGAAAAGTAACTGGTACTTTACTTGAGTATTTCAATTTTCCAACATGTTCTACTTACACTCTGCTACATGTGTTTGAGAGTTTTAGTTACCGTTACTTTACAAATCAAGATTTTTGCCAACAAAACATGACGAGTATACGTGTGATGCTGTTATAACTTGAAGTATCCAACAACACTTCAGCTGAAACAATAAGTCAGTTGATTGATTGACAGAAGATAAATAGAAACAGATATTTATAAAATCACTTGTTCTTATAAAATTCTTGAATTTCATGATTTCAGCTTCTGAAATGTACTGCTTTGACCTCAACCAACTAGTAAAATGCTGCTGCTAATACCTAAGTAAAAGTCTAATGATCTGTTGATATAATAGTGTCTCGTACAGGGGACGTTTTTCTGCATTGACTACTTTAATAGGCTACATTTAAAGTTCGATGCACGATTATAAATTGTAACGGGATATTTTAGTCCTTTAAGTAAAGAATCTCAGAACTTTATCCACTACAGTTTAACCGGAGCAGTTACCTCTGCCTACTCCCGAGTATTGGGATTTAACGTTTTACTCTTGCATCCGTTTAACGAGACTCGAGGTGCAGTCTCGAGGTATATAAACTCCCGCCTTCGCTGTCTGATTGGTTCAGCGCCTTGTCAATCCAGGTGTTGTGCGCGGTAATTGGTCAGCTTTCTCCTCTAAGGCCTCTCCCTTTAAACCTTAGGTGGACAGTAAGATTGTGAAGCGGACTTTGTCCAAGTGTTTAAACGAGGAGACGCTGCGCACTGTTTTCTCCGCCACGGAAGAAATATGCTGTAGTCGTCTCCTCTGAGCAGCTTTGGTCCAGGACAGACTCTTCGTGATCATGGAACTGGAGGAGAAACCGAAATATGGTAATTATCTAAGCCTCAAACGGCCCCGCTGCAGTCGAGCGATGATTGGCAGCTACGACTCTAACTTTAGATTTGGGGAGAATAGTTTCGCTTTGTGTGAGAAGTGATGTGAATCAATATAGAGTTCTTGTTTTCACCTTTCACTGTCTCGTGTTAGCTCCAACTTTATCTCGTAGCTGCACTTATGCACGTAAAATTCACTTTGCATTTCCAACGGCGAGTTCGTTTGTGAACCGACAGTGAGCACATATGGAGTTTATTGTCATTTATACGGAGTTTATTGTCATTTCTATGGAGTTTATTGTCACTCATATATAAGCTAAAGTTGTGGCGCAGGCTGCCTGGTGCGCATTGTCCCAGTTTGTCTCCTGCTGGTCCAGTTTGCTGCCACATTCCTCAGACTGGTACTGATGGCAACTGGAGCTCCCAACTATATATAGAGCTGATTAGAAAATGCTTCACACATGACGAAGGTCTTTGTCAGCTGCCTTCTGTCTCTCAGACTATGTCCAGTTTCATACACGTGTTTACGTGTTTTCAGTGTGTGTGCGTGTGTGTGCCCGATCTGTGCAGCTGCTTCCTGTGGGCTGCCCTCTGGGTGGTTGTAATAAACTCTCTGTAATGTGCTTTTACAGTGACACATCCTGCTGGTTGTGATGTACAGCTGTTTAATAAGAAGGCTTCTTCCAGGAAAGAGCTTTTCTTTGAGAGAAATGAAGCAATAAATGATTCACACAAAGCCTGTTGAGGGAGCGAGGTGACTCCTGAAAGGCGCCTGTTGTGTCACTATGCTCCTCTGCTGTGCACAACAGTTGTTCTGCAGCAGTGTCCAGCACATTTAGCTGTTGCAGGATGTCCACAGGTTGAAATGACAAACAATATGAGGTTCTTTTCATGACAAGGAAATAATCAATCAATCAATCAATCATCATAAACTTTATTGCCAAATATGTCAAGACAATGAATTTCACTCCAGCTCAGTGGCCACCGATGTGCAAGAAGACAAACAACCAGCTATTTCTAATTATGTACATGTATCGAAGTTAACAATGAGCTGTTTTATGTACAATGGTTACATCTAGGGGGCGGCACAGCACCACGGTGGTTAGCACCGTCACCTCACAGCGAGAAGGTTCTGGGTTCAAGTCCCGGGCTGACCCCAGGGCCTTCCTGTGTGGAGTCTGCATGTTCTCCCTGTGCCTGTGTGGGTTCTCTCTGGAGACTCTAAACTGCTCGTAGGAGTGAGTGTGGGTGGTTGTTGTATCTGTAGCTGCAGCCTCAGATACACCCCAGTCTGATGACTGATAAGGGGGTGCCCTCCTCCTCCTCCTCCATGAACACACCCCTTTCTCCTCTGCCTGCCACATAATCACGGGGTCACATCACCGGCGCCGCCCAGAACGCAATATCTCTGTGTCGGTGTTTGTGTGTTAAAGCCACAATACACAGAGTAAGATGACAAACAGTAACAGAAGAGAAATGTAATTGTGTTTGGCTGCAGATTCATTTGGCTCCGTCCACATCCCAAACCTGGTGTGTCCACAGCAGTGTGAACAGACCAGATGTCCTCAGACCAGATCTGGGCCACCTGCCTATGAGCTCCTAGACCCAATTCCTCTCCGACCTCTGACTGTGTGAGCGCTGTCAGAACGGTCAGATCAGAATCCATGTGGTCGTTTTAACGTCTCCTCCTCTGCTCATACGGCCTGTCGTCATCATTCGGCGTCGGCCCCTCACAGACCAGTAACGGTAAACATGGAGGAGAGCGACAACAGCGACGGGGTCAGTGGAGAGACCAGGACGTTTATGGAGAAGCTTCTGATCAGGCCAAACTGGGAGGAACATATCGTAACCCAGTGGTTTGGGAGGAAACTGGGCCATTTGACTGTGGCACACACACCACCTGGGTGTTATTCTTGTGTGCACGTGGCTCACATTTCAGTTACATCTGTGGCAGTTTAGGAGCTCAGTGGTGTTCACACACACAGACAGGAAGCAACGACGCACACAGATCAGATCTGAGCGTTGAGGCCTGAGATGGGAACACCGCCTTAGAGTCAACAGCCTCTATAAAGTTTTAGTGCAACATAATATTACTCAGAGAGACTTCAGACCAACCAGCTGAGAAAAGAGCGAAGAACACAAAGGTTAACTTGCACAGGGAGGGCGTTTCACATGTTGGAGCCACTTCAGGCTGAGATCTCTGGGGAAACCTCAATGACAGGATCTGGAGCAGCCCTGGTGCAGATTAGCTGTAATTACAGGCCATACTTAGGAGGGTAGTTTGAAACAGGATCCCCAGCTTCTCTGAACCTTCTTTCATGTTTGCTAAAGCTCATTCAAGCTACGTGTTCACCTCCACTTTGGGCCAGCTTCATTTGTTTTTGGTTCACTTCCTCTACTGTACAGTTGTCTGTGTCAGCTACCACCAAACAACCACCCGTTCCCACTTCAATGTGCCTGATCAGACGCTAACAACCCAGACACTCAGCTATCTGTCTGCTGCCACTGCCAGCTGTCCTGCAGCCTGAAATACAACAGCGGTGTCAGACAGATTAAGGCCAGGGAGAGGGAGTTTGGAAACAAGTGCAGAGGAGTTGGGCCGTTGAAGCAGGACCACCCAGTGAGCCGTTCGGCGGTCGCTTGATGCTCTTGGCTCGTCTCATTAACCTTCTTCGCTGATCAGGGAGGTTTGAATGAAATGAAAACGAAGGACTAATGCTGTGTTCACACCATATTGTAAATTACAAGGAGCAAGCAGGAAAACTGTTCACACCAGCCTCTGACGTGTCGGCGATTTTGGGGATTTTTGACACCGGGTATCGTCCCCTTGATAAGAAGAATTACAGACATGTCAACTAACTGTTGTAGCATGGCTGCAAATGCATCACAGAGAGCCGCATCCAAGTCAAACCCACTACTAAGACGGATACAGTCGGGTCAGCTCCTCCCAGAGGAGTCGTGCACAGTTTCCAGTTTCATGTGGTGACCGGCTGCTACAGATACACAAAGCAAGGAGCCCATTTAAAGTGTTTATCTGCTGTGGCTGCAGGTTAGTGCTGGAGCTGACCACCTTGGACTAATGCATGGACAGTCCCAAGCCAGAATAAGGAGTGGTTTTCCTGTGTGGTGCTGTATGAATGCTGCACACTGAAGAAACCTCCCTTTACACTGTCGAGTTGGGACTTTGTGGTCACCTTTAGTCTAGAAATGGTCAGTATTTCCTCTTTGCTACCGTCAATGAATAGTCTTGCTAATTATATATAGATCTGGGGGGAGCAGTTTATTTAAAGAACGAAGCCGCTGCTTTGTATGTGTGTTACTGCGCACAAACCCCGTCCAGAGACCAGCAGCACCAGTGAACATGGTGTCCTCACAGTCCAGACCCTGGTTTATCGCTCCGTGCCGTAGACCTCTACTGTTGTCCATCAGCTACTAACTGTGATGATAAAACCCTGGCGTCATCTGACAGTTTATGAGCCTCGGTTCAGTCTTTTCTAGTGACTGGAGGCTCAGAGGTTGTCTGACTGCAGTGGTGGCTCAGTGGAAGCAGGTGAGATCCTTTCAGAAGACCACAGCTGTTACTCTCTGCCACCAAAGGAGAACTGCTTCTGTAATTCATTTAGGCTGATTTAAAAACCAGAACACGTCCAAGCAAACCAAAGAGAGCTCTGGGATGATTTCACCTCTAGTGTCAAAAATGAGAAGGACAGCAGAGGAAAGCAAGAGCCCGCGTTGATGTGCTGGAGGTCTGACGGTGTCAAACCGCAAAATCCTGAGAAACCACCAGCCTGCGTGCCACTGGAGAAAAGGGGTTTGTGGAGGCCCCTACTCCAAGGCCCTCTGTGCAGTAACACTGAAAGGAGAATCATGGGAATGGAAACTTTCAGTCATTCAGCTGAATTTTCTGTTGCTGCCAACATCTGGGGAAAACACTGTGGCCCCTCTGTGGAGTCTTCGTCAGAAGGGAGCTGATCTCAGTGCAACATGAGAGGAAGAGATGAGAGCTGGAGCTGCTCGGCCAGACGCTGTAGTAGCAGTGATTCGCCAGCAGCTGAAACCCAGCACTACTCCTCTGTGTTTCCTCCCAGCATGTTTTTGATAACATAACTTTTCCTGTGCTTCAGCAGGCCGCACCCTCTCGTCTTTCCCTGCCAGCTGTGCTCATACATGGGTTTGTGACGAGGTGGGAGGAGACTGAGGGAGAGGCACAGGTGGAGCGCAGGCTGAAAAGCAACAGTTGTATCAGGATCAACAGAGAGGGGAAGTGTGAGGTGGAACGCTCAGCTATTCTGGGACTGGTTGAACTGGTTCCTCCTCCACAGGAGCTCTCGCCCATTTGTACCAGGAGGTGAAGCAGATAAAGGAGTAACAAGGTTCTCAGGACACTTCAACAGTGGACCCAGAAAGGGATCTGAAGATGGCTGGGGACGAAGAATATTATGGGAAGAATGGTAACTGCTCTCTTTGCTTTAGTTTAATATTGTTTGGTTTTACATCTTTTTTTTTTTTTTTCACCAAGCATTTGTCGGAGCAATGTGAAATGACTTGAAGATTGTTGGTTAGTTGTTAGGCTTGTTTATTTTTACTGCTGACGATCTGAATACGTGCTATGAAGTGTGGGAATCGTCTGAGTGAAACTGGAGCGGCGGTATTGGCCTGAATGGGTGTGTGAGGAACCTGCTGCTGCCTGATTGTATAGGTGTGAGAACAGGGAGCTCATCTGGAGCTTTCTTGTTCAGATGTTACTGTGTTGAACTGTTCTGTGCCTGGTCGCTGAGCCAACTTGTCAAAGGTAGGCAAGGCAGCTTTGAGTGGCCTCTGTGTGCAAACAAAGGTAAAGAGGAACAGTAAAAACCAGAATGCCAGTGCAGCCTGCTGACCATATCAAGCTCAGTGTGCTGGATAACAGACGGTCAGCCTCCTCCTGACCCCAGATAACCTGCAGCCAACGGTGCGCATGCACACGCACACGAGGGGGTCGTGCTGATGGTGCTGCACCACCTCGTAGATGCACTGGGGACAGTTTCCTCAGTGTTCAGAGACAGGAATGAAGCTGGCTCATTAACAGTGGCTGTTGAAACCCAAATCTGATGTTTGGCAGAGTGGTGTGTCTTGGTTTTAGCATAAACCACGATGAACATGACATGACTGGCTTGTCAAATTATTAGGAACACCTAGCTCAGACTGAGTCAGTCTAATCCACCGGTGCTGCTTCATGAAGGTGATGATGTTCAGTTCACACTGTGCTGATCCACCTGTATGACCTGAAAACGAGACATAAAATCACAAGCTGTTTGGTTTGTGGTTGTTCTGTGTCTGTGTTCTTAGAGTCAGGGTGGGGGGGTCCTGTTGTGTGGTATACTGACAGGTGTTTCTATTATTGTGTCCACCATGCCATTTAACAATATTTTCTCCTGCTCTGAAGCTTTGCACAGAATAAAACCGCTTTGTTTCACGGTAAAGTTTTTTTTTTTTTCCACCCGTTTCCCAGCTGTCCCCTGTTTTACCTTGAACTGCAGCAGAAACGGACTGAACATCATCACCTTCATGAAGGAGGAGGCACTGTAGCACTGGATTAGAGTGACTTGGTGTGACACAGGGGTTCCTAATAAACTGACCTCTGTGTAAAAGGATGAGACCCCCTCTAGTGGCCCTGTGAGTTCCACCGGCTCCGTCTTCCAAAGGAGTTTTCTTGTTCTTAGTCAACAGGGAGGAATGTGTGTGTCTGCCTGGAGGGAGAGTCTCTGGCCACAGAAAATGTAAATGTGTAGGCTGCATAAAGACGAGTAGGCCCAGTGCCAGGAGCTAACCGAGTGTTTCTTTTATGTAGGTGAGCCAAAGAAGTATGACCCGACCTTCAAGGGCCCGATCCAGAACAGGTGAGCCAGATGTGGGTTTTGCCTGTGCCTCCCCCAGAACGCAGGTCACAGCAACCTCACAGCTTTGCTCTCTCCATTCCAGGGGCTGCACAGACATCCTGTGTTGCATCCTCTTCTTCCTCGCCATCCTGGCTTACATTGCTGTGGGAATACTTGGTAAGGAAGCTGCAGCGTAGAAAACGCTAAACTACCTGCACTAACACTGTGTAATCTGTACCGTGTGTCTGTGCTGCCAGCCTGGACCCAGGGCGACCCCCGGAAGGTGATCTACCCCACAGACAGTCGGGGCCAGTTCTGCGGGCATGCCGGCACCCCGCTCGAGTGAGTCGCTGCAGACGTGTTCATGTTTCTCTGCCAGACATGTTCTTCTTGCTGTTGACGATGAAGAGCAGTGAACTTCCCTTCAGTTCCAGACGCTCCTCGGCTTCTCCTCTTCATCGGAGTCTGAGCCTGTTTCAGCGCTCCATAAATAATAAGTGCATAAGACAACATTTCCATGCTTTTCTGTAAAAACTGTTCACTAGCTGGAGTGTCGCTCCGTTGGTGCAACATGAAGCCGCTCTGCCCTCATCCTCCTGGATTTTCCCAGCCTTTCATCTTAACCCGTCAGAGGGTAGAGATGTGTGAGATCTACTTACTAATGCAAGCCAACTAACTCCTTTATCTTTGGAACCTGTTCTCTCTGATATTGATGATAACCAGATTAGTTTCACGTAGAGCATCAGAAATGAACTGCGCTGGTTTTCCCAACTGTCCTTCGTGTGTGTTTCCGCAGGAACAAGCCGCTGTTGTTCTACTTCAACATTATGAAGTGCGCCAGCCCCATGGTGCTGCTGGAGTTCCAGTGTCCGACCACACAGGTGCGAAGCCTCCTTCACTGTGGTTTCTGTCCTGGCCTTATGAACCATAGCGGTCTTCACAGTTCGTGCCAGCAGTATACACAACACCCATGCAGTGGTTTCACTGGGCTTTCATTTTTATTGGGTTGTAAATTTAAATTGAAACAGATAAAGCTGCCATTTGTCCACAAATCTACACTCAGTAACACAAAATAACAAAGTGAAAACTAGAGTTACTCTTCCGTGGTTCAGCGCCTCCGCCACTGGTCACTGACCAGTCACTGACCTTTGACCACCAAAATCTAATCAGTTCACGTGGACACGTGCCAAACTTGAAGAAATTCCCTCAAGGCGTTCCGGACATATCGCGTTCACAGCAAGAGGACGGACAGACGGACAGACAGACAGACAGACAGACGGACGGACCCCGAGATAATATAATGACTGATTTGTACTGAGAGCGGATGCGAGTGGGGAAGAGTTGTTGTTTGCAGCTGTAAACGGCTCCTCTAACTCCTGTGCACGTTTCATCAGCTTGTAACAATGTCGATCAGCAGCAGATTCACCGATCAGCCCTGACATCCAGTTTGAACTCTACAACTTGAGTAGGATTTGGAGTGTAGGCCTCGTCTCTCCACAGTGGGTTTGTGAGCAGTTCTTCCACTGCTGTTGCTGTGTAGGATGGGACTCTGTGGCCTCGATGCTTCTTTCTCCAGGTTGTTGGTGTTGGCTTGGCTCTCCTGACTGTGCTTCCCTTTCTATCTGACGTCGTGGCCACCGAGTTCCTTTCCTGCACTTGATGTAATTGTATCCTGCTCTGATTGTTGCTTCCTCCTTAGATGTGTGTGGAGAAATGCCCTGACAAGTTCATGACATTAGTCAAAGCCTACAGCAACAAAAATGACTTTGACTACTACAAGAACTTCTGCCAGGAGGGGGTGACCAACACCATGGTGAGTGGAGCCACCGTGGTCGCTCACTATTACTTCAGTCTTAATTGTCCACAGCTTCTCACACACTGTGTGCTGTGTTTCAGGGTGTACCACAAATCCTACAGCTAAAGCTCTGTCCTGCCATGCTGATCCCCAGCACCGCCTGTGAGTGGCCAATGTTCCTCCCAACATAAACTGAAAATCGTCCAGAGATCTGGTGCATACAGATGTGGTTTAAAGTGGCGGTCGCCTTCCACACAGTTCTTCGTGAACAGTGAGGAAAAAGAAGCAGGAAGACTTCAGGTCCAGGCTGAGCCCCGAGATCCAGGTCCAACAGGGACGTGACCACGTCTCATTCAGAGCTGCACAAAGAGCTTGACTACACTGATCGGCTCAGAAACATTAGGCCGGCGTCCTAATACTTGTTCATTTTCATTTGTGGTGTTAGGTAGAGCAATATGTTCCATGGGGAATCCAAAGCAGCGTGTCTGTGTTAAACCCAGAACAGTGGTCGTCACTTACTGTGTCAGAGGAAACTCTGGTTTTCCTCTTAAGTGGAAAGCACCGACACTGAGCCACATCTGTACGTGAAAAGTCTGTCACATAGAAGTCTTTGTAAAGACGTTCTCACCTCGGTTTATTTCCTTTTCTTTGCTGCAGTTACTCGCAGGTGTTTCCCAGCTTTGGGGCAGAAAGGAGGCGTGATCACTGTGGGAAACAACTCCAAGTTTGATGATGGCACCGGGAACATGAGAGATGCCAAGGATCTGGTGGATGGAGTCAAGTGAGTATGGTATTAGAAAGCAGCTGACACGTGTTACCTCAGAGGAATTCCTCTCTGCAGATAAACACTGGAGTCTGTTCACAGGAATGCTACTGTGGTTATTGAAGCTCGGCAGGTGGTCATGAAAATCTTTGAGGATTACACACGGTCCTGGTACTGGATCCTGATGTAAGTCACCAGCCCACATCTGTAGATCTGATCCGGTTTGTGTGTGAAGCCTGAGACCTCAGCGGGTTTTCTCTGTGCTTCCCTTCTCACACCCAGAGGGCTGGTCATTGCTACGCTCACCAGCCTGCTCTTCATCGTCCTCCTGCGCTTCCTGGCAGCGATCATGGTCTGGATCATGATCGTCCTGGTGATACTGGTCATAGGATATGGTAAGGGCCGAAATACCTGAGACCTTGTTGTTCTCTTTGTCTTGCTCACCTCAGATCAGCGCTGTTCCAGAAAGCAGGTCTAAAAACATGACCCTGACTAAAGCCTGCTGTCAGCTGCATGTTTGCATCATGGCCGCCTCGCTGTCCTGTGACCCTGTGAGCGTAGGGTGTGCGGATCCTCACTCATTAACAAGTCTCTGGGATGGAGCTCAGCATGAGCACTGGGGGAAGTAAAGGCAGCAGCTGTTGTGGACCAACACAGCGATGGTGTAAAGCTTTGAAGAGAAACTCTGAGCTTGTGCAACTGACAAATGATATCTCAACATTACTGTAATGTCCTGGAGCGTTTCTGTTTACATGGTACAGAAGCAAGTCAGGCCCTAATCTGCCCCCTAGAGGAGAAACGTTCAATTCCTCCACATTAACACAAAGTACACGAGCACTGGAGCAGCGATGCTGGTGTTTATGTGTTGGCATTGGTAAAAAGCAACAACCCCGAGATGGGAAATGTGACGGCTGATGGCGCAGCCCGAGTGAAAACAGACCAGAGAGAGAAGCACAAGGGAACAAACAAACAGAGGGCTAGAGGTTTTCAAGGGTTTGCAGTCATCTGTGTACTTACAAGGTTTAATAGATGAGAGAAGGTTGAAAGGCCTGAAGTCATCAGGGCTGCACCACAGTCTGAACAGCAGGGAGGAGATGGAGGAGCTCAGTGAGGAAGAACCCTGCAGACTGGAGCCACAGACCCATGATGGTTGCTACAGTGGTGTGAAAAAGTGTTTGCCCCCTTACTGATTTCTTATCTTTTTGCATGTTTGTCACACTGTAATGTTTCAGATCGTCAAACAAATTTATATATTAGTCAAAGATAACACAAGTAAACACATCATGCAGTTTTTAAATGAAGGTTTTTATTATTAAGGGAAAACAAAATCCAAAACTATAGAGCCCTGTGTGAACAAGTGTTTGCCCCCCTGTCAAAACACTGGTTTATCGCACCTGAGTTCAATTTCTCTTGCCACACCTGTTCGCAATCAAGAAATCACTTAAATAGGACCTGCCTGACAAAGTGAAGTAGACCAAAAGATCCTCAAAAGCTAGACATCATGCCGAGATCCAAAGAAATTCAAAAACAAATGAGAAAGAGAATAATGGAGCTCTATCAGTCCGGAAAAGGTTATAAAGCCATTTCTAAAGCTTTGGGACGGCAGCGAACCACAGTGAGAGCCATTATCCACAAATGGCGAAAACATGGAACAGTGGAGAACCTTCCCAGGAGTGGCCGGCCGACCAAAATTACCCCAAGAGCACAGCGACAACTCATCCAAGAGGTCACAAAAGACCCCACAACAACATCCAAAGAACTGCAGGCCTCACTTGCCTCAGTTAAGGTGAGTGTTCATGACTCCACCATAAGAAAGAGACTGGGCAAAAATGGTTTGCATGGCAGAGTTCCAAGACGAAAACCACTGCTGAGCAAAAAGAACATAAAGGCTCGTCTCAGTTTTGCCAGAAAACATCTTGATGATCCCCAAGACTTTTGGGATAATACTCTGTGGACAGACGAGACAAAAGTTGAACTTTTTGGAAGGTGTGTGTCCCATTATGTGTGGCGTAAAAGTAACACCGCATTTCAGAAAAAGAACATCATACCAACAGTAAAATATGGTGGTGGTAATGGGATGGTCTGGGGCTGTTTTGCTGCTTCAGGCCCTGGAAGACTTGCTGTGATAAATGGAACCATGAATTCTGCTGTGTACCAAAATATCCTGAAGGAGAATGTCCGGCCATCCGTTTGTGACCTCAAGCTGAAGCGAACTTGGGTTCTGCAGCAGGACAATGATCCAAAGCACACCAGCAAGTCCACTTCTGAATGGCTGAAGAAAAACAAAATGAAGACTTTGGAGTGGCCTAGTCAAAGTCCTGACCTGAATCCAATTGAGATGCTGTGGCATGACCTTAAAAAGGCAGTTCATGCCCGAAAACCCTCCAATGTGGCTGACTTACAACAATTCTGCAAAGATGAGTGGGCCAAAATTCCTCCACAGCGCTGTAAAAGACTCATGGCAAGTTATCGAAAACGCTTGATTGCAGTTGTTGCTGCTAAGGGTGGCCCAACCAGTTATTAGGTTTAGGGGGCAAACACTTATTCACACAGGGCTTTGTAGTTTTGGATTTTGTTTTCCCTTAATAATAAAAACCTTCATTTAAAAACTGCATGATGTGTTTACTTGTGTTATCGTTGACTAATATTTAAATTTGTTTGATGATCTGAAACATTACAGTATGACAAACATGCAAAAAGATAAGAAATCAGTAAGGGGGCAAACACGTTTTCACACCACTGTAAGTTTAAGGAAGGGTGGGAAAGTTTAACGAGAACTCTGTTGCTGGAATGTGAAAACAATGACTGCAGGTAGAAACATGATCAGGGAAACTCTACCTTTGTCATCAAAACACCTGCTATAACATGAGGTCATGTATTTTGAAGCAGTTTACTGCATGATTATCTAAAATATTTTTGGGATCAGAGATCTCAGCTTGGCTGAAAGAAACAGAGAGGGATATGGAGTTTTGTTGTCAACACTTCAAAATTCCATCAGTGTGGAAAAGACACATCTCCCACTGTACACTGAAGGTTTCAGTTTGGATCTGACCTACTGATTATGTGTATCTTTGTCCTGCTACGTTGTTTTTGTCATGTCAGATCAATGTGGCTCCCATTAACTTTAGTCTCCACATTGCTATTTCCATTTACACCCACTGTCTGTCATCTGCTAACACATTTGAACATGGAAGCCTGTGAGCACTCCTCTTACAGCAAATGATTAAACCCAATCAAACCCTCGTTCTGGGAGGATGACACCATGGGGGGAAATGTTAATATGGGTTATATTAGTAAAGCTGTGGGTAGTTTTGAACCTATAAATCTGAATTCAGGAAGGACAGACAGTGATGGGTTGTTCTAAGGGAGGGTTCTGCAGGCAATCTTGTGTTGACCTATCAATACATGTTTGGGAGGTGCTGCCCAGCAAAATTTCTCCTGCTGATTTTTATGTTTTTGTACTCATGTCTAACTACAGTGAGCAGAAAGGAAAGCAAAGACTTAATTTAAAGTCGGATCATCTGCTGGCCACATCTTACCACACTTTTCAATATTTAGTAGCTATATATGATGTAATTTTGTTATGTTTTATGAGGCATAAGCATTTGAATGCAGCTTTGATAAATGTGCATCTAGAGAGCTGAAATCATGTTTTTTAAAGGTAAAATATATTTCTTAGTTTTAGTCATATTCCAAAAGAAATTGGGCGTTGGGGTGTGTCAGTCTCTGTTTGTTTGGCTGTGTTCCATTTGGCTATGTTAGAATGTTGCTTGTTACATAGCAGCAAGGGTGTGGAAACTCTCCTGAATGGAGCAGGCAGCAGAAGGTACCGATAGGAGATTGATCTTCATCATCTGATAATGTTAAAATAGGCTGTACTTTCATATTAAGGGAACATGATGTCTATTAAAGTACAGTGGGACATTAGACAATGATTACACTGCTGTGTTGCACAGAACTGTCCTTACACCAGCGTTGTCCTCCTGTGTGTGTGTGTGTGTGTGGTTACTGGTTAGGTATCTTCCACTGCTACATGGAGTATGCTGCCCTGAAGGAAGCGCCTGGTGCCAACGTGACTCTGCAGGACCTGGGCTTCCAGACGGACTTCGCAGTCTACCTGCAGATCCAACAGACGTGGCTGGCCTTCAGTCAGTACACAGTCCACATGTTTGTAACCTCTGAGGTGTTGCTGCACAGTGTGACGTGACCTCTCCCTCTGCACCCCCCAGTGATCATCCTGGCCATTGTGGAGGTCATCATCATCCTCCTGCTCATCTTCCTCAGGAAGAGGATCCTCATTTCCATTGCTCTCATCAAAGAAGCCAGCAGGTCAGTAGAGTAGCGACAGACCAGCTGAACTCGGACTGACGATGGGTTGTGTTTCTCTCTTTGGCTTGATGTGTGTGTAACCAGCGGTGCTTGTCTTGCTGTTTCCACAGAGCCGTCGGCCACATCATGTCCTCCCTGTTCTACCCCCTGTTCACCTTCCTCCTGCTGACCATAGTGATCGCCTACTGGGCTGTCACTGCTGTGTATCCTTTACGCTACGCCAGCGCTCTGACAGTGACGCTGTTAGCCAGACTAGCTCCTGCAGGTTAGGTTTACAGCTCTACCCACGCTATTTCCTGTCCCCTGTTGCTTCACACACTGTCTGACTGCACCTGCTGTGGGCGTTATCGTGTACAACTGTGTCAGTGGTGGTGGACTGGATGAGCTGTGATGTGTCAGGGTTCACACAGACAGCCTGCCCCCACGGTGAGTATGGCCACACGTTGGTCACCTTGTTCTGAGGCGTCTGCAGTGAACGTACTGTGAGTCACCATGGTGACAGTGGGACATTGATGGGAGGTGGTTTCTGTGCTCGTCCGAGTCCCAACGATTGAAGTCCTTAACAAAGCCCATCAGCTTCTTGTCTACCTCCAATGAGGCCGTCTACAAAGTTTTCAATGAGTCAGTGTGCGACTACTCGAGGACGAACTGTGACCCGGCTGTAGGTTTTTATCGTTCATTGTACTGATTCTTCAAGTTTCACTTCAGCGTTGATTTTGTATGTTACTGTGCACAAACCCCATCCAGAGACCAGCAGCAGTGAATGTGGTGTCCTCACTGTAATGAGTGTGTGAGTCCAGCTCATCGCTCTGTGCCGTAGACCTCCACTGTTGTCCACTAGCTATTCACCCCCCCCAGTGAGCCAAACCGCTGCACTGAGGGGCAGGCTTCCTCCTCAGGAAACACAGGAGGCGTCTGTTTCCATCAACCAGCTCCAACATGTTGGTCTGAGCAGCGAGGAGCTGGCGGAGCCGTGTGGCCAGAGCTGAGACGGTGACTCTGTCTGACCTCAGACACTACGGCCGCTCTCAGCCTGTGGAGCTGTTTGATGGAAACACACAGGCCTCACTCAGCTTCCGTTGTTACTTTGGTGTCTGGATGGGATTTGTGGAAAACAAACAAAATCACCGGCTGCGTCCGTTCAAACTATTTCCAGTCCCTCCTTATAACCTGTATCTGTGCCCAGAACTACTCCAGCAGTGATATGAAAAAGCAGTGCCCGGACTCCCAGTGCCTTTTTGCCTTCTACGGGGGAGAGACTCTTTACCACAAGTACTTGATCGGCCTGCAGTTCTACAACGTCTTCCTCTTCTTCTGGTGTGCCAACTTCGTCACGGCTCTGGGACAGATGACCCTGGCCGGGGCCTTTGCCTCCTACTACTGGGCCTTTGTCAAGCCAGATGACATGCCCACCTGCCCACTGTTTTCTTCCCTGGGGAGATCTCTCAGGTGTGTGTGTGTGTGTGTGTGTGTGTGTGTGTGTGTAGGTGTGAGAAGGCACAGACCGGCCTGGCTGTGCTGTCGCCTACAGTAAATCAACTACTATTCTGATAATGGTTTAGAGCAGCGTGGCGCCACGTCTCGCTGTCAGAGGGTTTACAAAGCAGCCAGTCAATCATTAGAGAAAATAATCCGTAGCTGCTCTTGGATCCAAACGAGTTCAGCAGAGCTGCACCAGCCACGTACTGCGTTTACATCAGTGCATGAGACAGGCTGGTAATGTGAACACACTGCACAGTAAAATGTTTTACTGCAGTGAGTAGCCTGCTAATACTTGTACTTAATGTTATTACTGCAGGGCTTTTTGTGACGGAGCAGGCGACTTGCACAGCGTGGTCTTAGTACTTTTACTGAAGTAAAGTATGTGAACACGTCCTCTACTACTGCTGCCAACATGCTTTGGTCATAAAACATCTTCTAGTTACATGCTCTAGTTTTAATCTGTATACCTCAGTTCACTCCTCAGGGTCAGCCCAGTGCTGCAGTCCAGCTCCGTCAGCTGCAATGGACAAGACCCTGGTTTCATTCTTCTGAGGGTCGTTGTCACCAATGATAATAATACTTGTGTAATACTGTGATATTCTCTGAGACGGTTATCGTACCATGAACGTCTCAGACCTTCTGACCCTGGTTCTGATCAGGAGTGCACACATGCTGCAGGTCACTGAAGAAAACTGTAAAGATCTAGTTTTACTTCATCTGTGCTTCACGTTACTGAGTTTTTATTGGTGAAAAATGTAAAACGTTTTGTTTTCAGATGTTTTTATTTAGTCATGAAAAATATTGTCAGTGAAAAGTTTTCGCTGACAAAGTCGACATGATGTAAAACGGTTTTGATGAGAGAATGTGTCTTTCAGGTATCACACGGGAACTCTGGCGTTCGGCTCCCTCATCCTCTCCATCATTCAGATCATCAGGGTTCTGCTGGAGTATCTGGACCACAAGCTGAAAGGTCCGTCAGAGCAGCGTTAGCTGGATGTGTCTTCTGCAGGTCATAGTCCATAGTTTGTGTAACGTACAGACATGAATCCAGCAACATCCTTGGATCAGGTTCAGAGGGGTGGTTTGCTCTGGTGGCAGTGAAGAGGCCACAGATGGAAACGACACCAGTTTGATGGCACAGTACTGAATAATAGCAAAGATCATGTGTAAATTTGTCTTGATGTAACTGTGTGTTTCTCCTGGACCTCTGGGTTTTTTTGAAGACCTGTCTCCAGTGGTTGTTACACTGTCATCTACCTGTTGTCCACAGTCGCCCAGAATAAGTTTGCAAAGTTCCTGCTGTGCTGCCTGAAGTGCTGCTTCTGGTGCCTGGAGAAGTTTGTCAAGTTCCTCAACAGAAACGCCTACATCATGGTGTGTGTGTGTGTGTGTGTGTGTGTGTGTGTGTGTGTGTGTGGTCAATTTTGATCATTTCCCTGAACTCGTCAAAGTGGGAACATGGTGATTCTTTCTAAGTGCCTACCTGAATGTGATGAGTGTGTTTGGCCTCCAGGTGGCGATTTATGGCAAGAACTTCTGCACGTCTGCCAGAGACGCCTTCTTCCTCCTCATGAGGAACATGATCAGGTGAGTGTCCACGCAGTTTGTGATTGTACAGGTTTACACAAGCTCAAATTTAACATGTTTAAAATGTGTTTCTGTCCTCAGGGTGGCTGTGTTGGACAAAGTCACAGACTTCCTCTTGTTTCTAGGCAAACTGCTCATTGTGGGGCTCGTGGGTGAGTCTTCAGAAGTTTGCACTGACCATATGTTTTGAACTGGAGAAACATTTCTGGCTGACATACTTGTGTGAAAAGGCACTGACTGATGTACAGATGGTGACAACTGAGTGGGGAGACAACCAGCAGGGTCACTGATCAATCAGATCATCGTCCTGATGATGTGATTGATCTGTTTGTCCCCAGAATGTCAGACACTGGGAAAAAGTCCCACAGTGACTCTCCAGAGCCAAAGGTGGCATCTCCACACCTCTCATTGTGTCCAACCAGCAGATCTACAGAGACTCAGCTGATTCTCATGTCTGACAAAGAAAAGCATCAGCTCTTCACATTAAAGAAGGTGGAACCAGAACATGTTGGTGACTGTTGCTTCTAAATAGCTGAGGTTCATTTTCTACCAGTGAACTGACTCATGGCTGCAGCTCTAGGTCACTGAATGGATTCATGAGGACGACACAGAGGGTCGGACACAGAGGGTCGGACACCGTGGGGTTGGACACAGTGAGGGGATCTGGGTTGGAAGGAGGACGTTTCCTCCTCCAACAGAGGAGACCTGGCAAGGCTCTGGAGACTCGACCCTGACGAGGCCCTGCTGGTTTGTCCTCTCAGTTGTCACCAGCTGTTTTAACAGTTTTGACTCAAAGTGCACGTGTTCTAAATACAGCGGTACAGATTGGGCCTCTGTAGACATTCACTGCCTAACGTTTCTTCATGAGCTTCGCTAAACACCACGAGTTCTGCCAGAGTGTGAGTGGTCTTTGTGTCCACAGGGGTCTTTGCCTTCTTTTTCTTCTCGGGGAGAGTGAAGGCCTTTGAGAACACAGCTCCCAGCCTCCACTACTACTGGGTGCCCATCCTGGTGAGTCTCAGGCTCCTCTCGTTCCCAGGAAAACACTGTTGTATGTCTAAGACCAGCAGAGTCTGTGCGCACTGAGTTCTGATTGTTCTCCTGTGTTTATGGCTTGTGTCCTCACCAGACTGTGGTGGTTGGCTCCTACTTCATCGCCCATGGCTTCTTCAGTGTGTACGCCATGTGTGTGGACACGCTGTTTCTCTGCTTCTGTAAGTAGCACCTCAGCTGCTGTCACATCCACATCATCCTTAGACTTCCACACTTAACACATGAGAAGGATGAGCTGCAGACATGTTGGACAGAATCCTTCAGGGCTCGATGTAAAGTGCACATATTAATGGTCAGCTCAGTCCAAACCTCTGAATCCTCACTGGGATCTTGGTGCTGGGCTCTCGCTAATGCTAAACTGCATGAATGTGGTGTGCCACATGTTCTGCAGCAGTCTGTGCCTGCTGCTTGGTGTTTAACCTTCAGCTGTGCCTCCTTTGCTTGCTTGGTGTTTGACTTTTCTTTTTTGTTTCTCTTCCTTTTCCTCACTTCCCACCATCCTCCTCCTCCCCTTCGACCTGTCCCTATAACACCATTTTACCTTGGTTTCTGCACTGATTTTCTGTTCCATCAACTGACACATACGAACGCATCCATCTTCTGCTCAGCAACAGGACACTGAAGACCTGCAGTAGATTCCCGAGGACGGTGAAGTCCAGGCGCCACCACAGCTCCTCCGCTCTTAAATTATGGGGCACTGGGACTCTGGTGGTGCTCTCCTTTGCACTGAAACCACTTGTCTCAGAAGCAGATTGAAGTGCAGCTCTAGAAATCAGTGGATCCAAGGAGCCGGCGTTTTGCTTCGATCCACTTAACTGAGCAGACGCAGCCTTTCAGTGTTCACGACCGACTGGTTTCCTTCAACACAAGCAAACGTGAGGTTTTTCTTCCAGACTGACCGTTGGCTAAACCCCTCCCCCAAGCAGTGATTATCCAATCACAGCTTAGCGCTGGATTTCTCCAACGCTGTTAATCTCGTCACCTGATTTAAGCTGTGTACGGTTACCATGGTTACAGGTGGTGCTGTGGTTGTTTGTTCAGTGTCACTGGTTCACTCACATCTTTAACTAGTACTATGTGGCTGACGCGACCTGTTTATAAATACGTTACAGGAAACGACAAAGCAGTGACGTACCTGCATACGACTGGAATCGGTATGTGACAGTAAAACCTTCATTGTCTTGTTGGTGGGCTGTGGTATGTGCCAGTGACCTGGAGCGGTTAGCAGTTCATAGGTCGCACATGGCAACAGGAACTTGAGTGAATGGTCAGCGTGCTTTAAAAGGAGCGTGGCATTATTGCACGTTGGTCATGTGTTCACGTGATGAAGTGAGGGCCTCCTGTTCGGTCGGATTTATTAGGTTCCTCCTGGTGACAGCCAGGTCACTGACGTGGTGCTTGGACAGTTTACGCTTGGGTCATGATGTGGTGGACAACGTGACCTGACGGGCTGAGGTCAGGTCTGAACTTGGGTCCTGCCTTTGTCGTTACACTACAGAAACTTGAGGCCATCCGTGTGCCCACAGGGTGAAGCTGCTGACAGACGTGCTTCCTGTAACGTGTGGACTGCGGCTGCCACGGCGGTGTCACTGTTCACGTGCTTGTGTAGTTGGTGTCTCTGACCCACAGTGGGCAGAACAGGACTGACACACTGTCTTATCAGTTTCTGCTTTTGTGCCATGTTAACAGAAACCACAGCATTTAGTCCAGTGTCAGCTGGAAAGTCTGGAAGAGTTGTAGGGTCATTTTGGTGTGTGTTGGGGGGGTGGAGCCAACAGGAAGTCAGACGGGAATCTGGAAGCACCAAGAAGACTTGTCGTTGGGCAGCAGTTTGGACCCCCACTTTTATTTAGCTTAGGCTTAGTTACATTTGAATGGTTTGAGCATTCTTTAACGAGATGAGTAAAAAGGGTTAAGTATATGGATTTACAGTTTTACAAGTTTTGGTTTGTAGAGTCCTGAACTGTTGAACGTACTGTATTCAGCAGATCAAGGTCGGGGAGGAGGCAGCACGCCCCACTCAGAGTCCACATAAAGGTCAAGAGGATAAACTGTGTTGACAGTAGACTGCCAGAAACACACCTGATACACCTTCTCCTCATGACTGTTAGAATCCCCATGAATTCATTCTTCGGATTTCCTAGAATTATTCATATGAAGTTTGACCTGCTCTGTTAAAGACGCAGTGCGTCTCCAAAAGGTAGACTGACCTGTCTGTTGAATCCCTTTCCAGTGGAGGACCTGGAGAGGAATGATGGCAGCCCAGAGAGGCCGTACCTGATGCCCGAGAGCCTCCGCAAAATCCTGAACAAGAAGAACAAGAGCCAGCCGGCTCAGTAGCCCCTGTCTTCCGGCTGGAGATGCTGGCGTGGTTCAGTGGGACCAGGAGGGCGACACCGTGCCATCAATCCCCTGGAGCCTACAGGGGGTGGCCATGTTCCACTGTCGCAGGTCTCACGGACACTTTGGCTGCTCCCGATGTCAGGACTCTGCTCAGAGCTTTTTTTAATGCAGTTAACATCCAAACCTAGTTGTAGTGTGTTCTTTTTATCAGTGAAGAAGTTTAATGTGAGCATGTTTTATTATCCGAGTGTTACGTGAAGGTAACCTCCCAGGTAATCAGTTAAAGCCTTTCAAAGTGCTACTCTTGTATTTTCAAATGTGTATTCTCATCTTTATATTTGAATAAATATTTAACCTTATTGTTACCAAAGCCCCCGCTGTGCTGGCCAGCCGGGCACCGTGGGGCCTTGTCTACATTGACAAGCATGTGATGCTGAATGTGTTCAAACAAAAGCAGAATGTCCACTTGGACACTTTTCTTCACGTTTGTGCAGGTGAATTGATGATGTTTTTGAAATACAGCCTTCACACAGAGTGGTGTGGGAGCCTGTCTTTTCCAGAACAGCCATACAATGCACTGCCCCTTAGGCTGCTATCCACATCCTGCAAGGTGAGGGTCGGCCCTGCTGCCGGGGGCATACGTGGCCTCAGTCCTTCAGGAGCCCGTCTGGGTCGACGCGATGCTCCCAGGTGGCTGCGGGGCTGACGTCGCCCTGTCGGACGTGGCTGGCCCACGCTCGCCTTCCTGGTACAGATCCTGTATGTGATGCGTCTGTTCTGATGGTCCAGCAGCTTCGTCTGCCAGAAGACGTGCTCAGTGTGACACAAGCTTGTATTCACCCTCAACATGGCTGAATTTCCAGTACTGTCCACTAGATGGGAGGTTTCAACAAGTTATAAATGGTTCACCTATTTAAGAAAACTGAATGGAAATGTAATCATTATTGATAAAACAGAAATGTACATCGATGCTTTTTGTTGAGGACTGTGTGGAAACCGGCGGCTGTCGAAAACCAACGTGTCTGTATCTGCTGAGGTTTCGTAGTATTTCTTGTTTTCTGTGTTGCAGCTTGTTTCTGCATTGAGCTCTCTGGGCCACCGTAGGCGGCTGTCCTTCATGCGTATAGGTCAGTCAGCAGAGCAGAACAGGATCTTATCAGCAGTCTGGTTTTACATGTCAGCTGGCTTCTCTCATGCCGAGATTACATCACCTTTTTTTATGACTGATAAAGGTGAGCAGCTCATCAACCAGCAGTCAGGTGTACTGGTGATGCTGAGCTCATAACATCTCGGAGCTGCTGGTGTCTACAAACTGGGACTGTAGTCTTTACCCAGTGGATGAACTACATGCTGCTGTTAACTCTGTTACAGTGCACGGCTCCTGTGGTGTTTCACTACGTTTTGACTCTAAATATTTGGGCGTTAGCTTTTGAGGTGAGAGCAGAACAACTGTGAGCTGCTGAGTCTGCATGGTTGACGACTGTAGACAGGTTTAAGTTGACACAACAAACTCCACAATCAAAACAGTAGACACACTCGTTCCCAGCTAATGAGGTTTGCAGTCAAACAATGAATCATAAGTCAGGAGTCAAAAGATGCAGTTTAGCACCACAGGCCCTGAGAGGGTCTCCGGATGAGCTGTAGAGTGGGGGGTCTGCACAACCTGGGCACACCGTGACTTGTTTAAGCCTTCCATGTTAAATTAAAGTTAATATGGGACATCTGAGTCATGTTTCTCAGGTTTTCCTTTCCCTGGAGCCCTGCACCAGCAACATCTGGCAAAGACCGGCCTTGCTCTCTGTTATTTTGTCTTGTATGTGGGAGACAAGATCATCCCCAGCAGGAGACCTCCTCCGTCACTTCACTGTCTTTTCACTGAACAGCTGAACAACATGAAGCAAATATTTCACCTTTATTCATTTTCCTGGAAGAGCACTTCCTGGAGAGACAAACAAAATAACCAAATGAAATTTACAAACTCAAAAATAAAACGTACACCAACAACTATAGAGGTAAACAAATAAAGGTGAAGGCCACAGTTCCAGTTTGTCTGCTGAAGGTTAGAAACGGTCATGAGTTGGCAGGACATTTGTAAGTTTCTAGAATATTTGGGTTTTTTCCAGTTGAATGTAGTGAGCTCCTTCACACAGTGCCACCTGTGTGAGAGCCCCAGGCCTCCGTACTGGCCCATTCATGTCATTCACGTGTACATATATA